ATTCTTGCCTATAATTTCTCATTTATACATTGAAATGCTTTAGTGTGGATTTTCTGGAGGGTATTTGGAGGTAGGAGAAGAGAAAGAATGAACAAACTTTATTCATATGTTTTAATACGTAGTATGTATTTTTATACATCATCCTAACAAACTAACTAATGATTACATCTTCCTATCATTGGGTAACTAATATCCTAGCTTATCTTCACATCCCTTCCTCAAATTGAACTTAGGTTGTTAAAGAAGTTCTTACTTGAAAATGAATATCTCATGTTTTACTCCTAATGCTTTTGTAAAGATATCAGCATGTTGAGAACCATAAAAGTCCTTGAAATCTTTCTCTTACATAATGGCAATCAATCCGTAGATATTTAGTTGTTGTCATGAATTACTAAGATTTTGAATTATATGCTAAGCAACAATATTATCACAATATAATGAAATAGGCTTTGGAATTTGAATTTGTAATTCCATAAACAATCCACCAAGCCAGACTATTTCAGCTCCATTGTAAGTTTGTAACTCATACTTTATATTCGGATTCTGCAGCTGATTTGCTCAGCGTCTTTTGTTTCTTTGTTTTCCTGTAAATGAGTGACTTTCCTAAGAAAATACTGTAACACCCCGGGGCCCCACACGGACCCGAGGTAGTTACTCTAGACCTCTAGTACTGTCCCCACAAACCACCACGAGCCTTTACCGCGCACTTTGTCCTCACTCATGCGCGCCCTGAGAAACTTCCCAGGGGGTCACCCATCCCAAGACTACTCCCGTGCAAGCACGCTTAACTTTGGAGTTCTTGGGTGATGAGCTCCCTTAAAAGGAGATGCACCTCTGTTGGTATGAGTAGTACTATTAATCCTCTTACATTAATCTCGGGTATTACAATCACCCCCACTTAGGATCGCAACGTCCTCGTTGCGCCCTTAAACCAATCTCAATAAAACCCCAAAATCTTGCCCCGCTAAGTGCGCGCCCGATATCTAACGGGTCAGCACACTGTCGCAGGGTTGCTCTGATACCACCTGTAACACCCCGGGGCCCCACACAGACCCGAGGTAGTTACTCTAGACCTCTAGTACTGTCCCCACAAACCACCACGAGCCTTTACCGCGCACTTTGTCCTCACTCATGCGCGCCCTGAGAAACTTCCCAGGGGGTCACCCATCCCAAGACTACTCCCGTGCAAGCACGCTTAACTTTGGAGTTCTTGGGTGATGAGCTCCCTTAAAAGGAGATGCACCTCTGTTGGTATGAGTAGTACTATTAATCCTCTTACATTAATCTCGGGTATTACAAATACGGTACCTGATAATGAGCGGTATGTTATAATCATGAACCCCAATCAGCATAAAAAAAGGTAGATAACTCAAGTGAGGATTGTGATTGGTAGAAGAGACCAAGGTTGACGGTATGCTTGAAAGGGCGAGCAAGGAACATTATGGTAACTTGCATATGACTTATCCTTGGTTAATTCATGGATTGATTCAGTTGTTGTATAGTACATGAAATGTCTACTTTTGTCAAGTTTAGATATAGAAATCTTCCAATCAATCTTCTATATTGTTCATGCTCATCAAGAAGATAACTTGTATGAGCTCATAGTTTTAGACCAGTAGGTAGAGAGAAATGGGCAGGCTTACAATCTATCATCTTGGTGTTATGCAAGATTTCCAAAATGTATTTTCTTTGATTGTGAATGATATCTTGATCATTGCATGCTACCACTATCCCCAAGAAATAACGAATTGGACCAAGGTCTTTTATATTAAAAGCTTTATCTAAAACATCCTTTGCCTTCTTTAATTGCTCCTTTAAGTTTTTAATAATCAATAAATCATTCACATTTGCAAGTAATAATGTGAGCGTTTTTGCTTCAGACTTGATGAACAAGGAATAATCTTGCTTTGACTATTGAAAACCCAATCTAATATAAAAAATTGTGAGTTCAAGATTCCTCTACTAGGAAGCTTTCTTTAATCCATACTATGATCTTTTGAGTTTACATACTTTTCATGCTTCTACATTTTGATACCCTTCTGCGATTTGCACATAAACTTCCTCACCAATGAATCCATGTAAGAATCCAAAAAGAGTTTGATCAAAATCTCAAAAAGAAGTCAATAGCAAAACTAAATATTTCAAGTAACTTAGACACTAAGGATATGTTTACTTCATTTCTTAGTAAACGGTGTTTAGTAAGCCTTGCCTTAGTAAGCCGTTGTTTAGTAAGCAGTGTTTAGTAAGCCAATGTTTACTTCATACAAAATTCAGGCCCGATTAATCAAAAGTCCGTTTAATTTCATTGGGCTTCAAACATGTCTTATGTATAAAATGTCAAAAATATCCCCCAATCAGATAAATAACCTAGACGATTACAATTGATGACTATCCCCGGGCATTTCAATCGCTTCTCCAAGCAGAGTGTTGTCTACCTCCAGATTGACGATCAGACATATGCTTTCTTCTTCCATTTTTTCTCTCCAGATTGACCGATCAGGCATATTTTCTTCTTACTCCGCTGCATCTATCTTCTCCATTTCCAGTTTATATATATACTATATGCTATTACGTATATAATTTATAATTAGCAAGTGGTTATAGATAAGATTGAACAAGCTGGTTCTATAGATAATAATACTCCTTATAATACTCTGTAAAAAAAATCTGATATAACCAACAGCCCATACTCTTCTTTTTAAATCCAATAAACTGCTGCACACGTAAGCTATCTTAAATGGCAGCTTTGATATGTATGTGTGTGGCTCGTTGATTATTGGTAATTTTTAGTTAGAGTTAATTAAACCAGAACAACAAAATAATAATTTTCAAGATTCATTTATGTATAGCATACTATTGATTAGTATCAAATATTAGTAATAAATTGTAACCACGTGTAATATTGCTCTATGTATTAGAATGGAAGGAACTCAGGGAAGTGGAACATCACAACCTGATTCTGTAATGTGGCGTAATGCATCCAATCCAAAGCATATCTTAAAGAGGAAGTCACAAAATTGGTGGTTCAATGCTCAATCATGTCTTATGAATACCATATTTTGGATGTTTGTTGTATTATTCACAAGGCGTAAGCGAACACAAAGTATTCGTTACATAATAGACAATCATTCTAAGAGGCAGGGGTATTTTCAAAGATTAGTACATGGACCCGAAGCAAATTGCATTTCGCAATTGCGAATGAGTCGTGCTGCATTTTTCAAATTGTGTGATATGTTGGTTGTAAGGGGTGGGTTGAGACCCACGAGACATATGATAGTAGAAGAACAAGTAGCTATTTCCCTACTTGTATTATCGCATCATCACAAAAATAGAACATTAATTACTGAATTTCAAAGATCGGGGAGAACGATAAGTAGATGCTTTGCTAGTGTATTACATGCTATACTACAACTTCATCCTGTTTTGTATGCTAAGCCTCAACCAATTACAATGGAATGCAATGATGACCGATGGAGTATATTTCAGGTTCTTATCTTAGTTATTATATTGAATTTATAATATGTAACTAGTCATTGATATATGTTTTTAATACTTACCACTATAATGTTACAGAATTGTGTGGGTGCACTAGATGGCACTTATATTGATGTGCATGTATCACCAAGTGATCATAATCGTTTTCGTTCTCGAAAAGGAATGATTGCTACAAATGTACTTGGTGTGTGCAATCCACAAATGCAATTCATCTATGTGTTTCCTGGGTGGGAGGGATCAGCCGCAGATGGTAGAGTTTTGCGAGATGCCCTCACAAGAAGGTTTCGAGTTCCACAAGGTATAATTGTATGTATATTATAATATATAATACAATAAACATTCATACTTTTTTAAAATAATGTAAAAAACCAAGAAATTGGGGCCAAATGCCCCCTGGAGAGAAGGAAAACTGAATTGTGAGGATCATAAACATTAATAATGTATAAAAAAAGAAATTGGGGCCAAATGTAGTGCTGATTATTAATAAAAAGTACTAACATAAATGTATTAAATTTATCTTCATTGTTATACAGGATGTTACTACTTGGTTGATGGGGGATATGCTAACTGTGAAGGGTTTCTTGCGCCATATAGAGGACAAAGGTATCATTTGTCTGAATGGCAAAACAATTGTCAACCGCATAACGCGCATGAGTATTTTAATATGAAGCATTCACAAGCTAGGAATGTGATCGAACGTGGATTTGGATTACTTAAAAATCGATGGGCCATTTTACAGAGTGGCTCGTGGTATTCTATATGTGTGACCTGTAAGATAATAGTGGCATGTTCCCTATTACATAACTTCATTCGACGTGAACATGATATTGATCCAATGGAGGACGATGATATAGAAGAACAGGAAGGTGTTGATGAAGAAGAAGATGCAGAAGTCCACTGGGGAGGAGTTGATTTACGCCCTACTGAAGCATGGACTGCATTTCGAGAAGATTTAGCAACAGAAATGTACACCGCTTGGCAATCATAAATATAATTTCGTCTCTCTGTTTGTTTTCATAAAATGTAATGTGACTGGAACTTACTATGAATGCTTGCTTTTCATTGTAATTCAAAAGTATTTTTAATATTTTTGGTTGTAAAATGTTCTAAATTATTGCTATAATAGAACAATGATGTTTGCAATTTAATATCAACATCCCTTCTGTTTCCTTTTCCGTTAGTGTGGATCATTGTTTTGTGAAATCATGTTTGTATTTCAAGAGTTGCTTGGATAATATGGAATTTAGTCTTACACCAAGAGCACAAATTATCTTCTTGGAAATCAAATAAAGCTATACCAAACTGGCTGATTTTGTTCCTGGATATTATTAGACCATTTGCAACAATTTAGAATGGCAGCTTAATGGGTTCTGGTTGTGCTTATATAAGAGCACAAAACTTTGATCACTTGTTTTGTTAGATAATTTTATTTTGTGACTGAAAGCTTCTCACATGTGGTGATTAACCATACAGTATTATTCACAAAACACACAGCAAAAATGTGGTGATTATTCAACTGTCATCATACACACAGTTGGCCTCCAAACAGAATCTGTCTTGTATAAAGCTAAGTCCTTGATGGGAAAATTACATACAGCTAGTGCTTGCATAACAATATTGTCAAACTCAAAAAACACTACCCTTGTTCGAAATCATAACAAAATAATAAAGTGACAATAAACACGCTCAAATGGTAACAGGCGTAATGAACTGCTACTATGGTTCAAATGCAAAATAGAAATTGATAACAGTGTATCATAAGGATAGTCACTCTAAGAACATAAATATAAAAAACGCCATGTTTCATCCATCGATGCAATAAATCATGATTCATCTTCTAAATACCACTTGCACCAATCCATCTTTTCCTCATCTGGCAAACCATAGAAGTACAACAACTCACTTTGGTTTTTTCCCATTTTCTTCATGATCTTAAATTTCATAGGTAAAGTCATGCCTTTGAGAGCGCCTAAAGCAATTGGGAGACGTGATGTCTTATCTTCTATATCTGTATCCACCCTTGACATTTCCAATCCCGCCTTTTCAAGTCGAATAGAAGCCGCCTCTACATAAGTTGAGAAACTGTGAATGCTTGAACTACTTTTACCCTTCTTCTTGCCACGACTATTGGAGGTAGAAGAGTTAAGACTACTCTGTGGAGTGTCATTGTCACTTGTTGCAGGTCTCTTTGATGTTTTTTTATTTGCAACACCAGAAACGGAGGAATCATTTACGTCTTGCATGTGTTGTGATTCAAAAGCTGGATCAAATTCACTTTCTTGAACCATGTCTTCACATTCCATCCCAGTTGCTCCAGTAGCGCGGTCCACAGAATAAATAGCACAAAATTGTTCATAGTACCACAAACTTTTTCGTCTTAAAGCTCCAACTTTAGATTTACTCTGAAAGTATAAAATCACATTAATAAAAATATACCAACGCAGATATATATATATATATATATATATATATATATATATATATATATATATATATATATATATATATATATATATATATATATATATATATATATAGGAAAACTACGCTATACAAAGTACAAACCACATTCCCAAAACTTCAGAAATATCTACTTCGAAGACACAAGAAATTACTTATCACAATGCCAATAAGGTTACTATTTCACGCATCATTTTCTCCCCATCTAAACACCACCCATTTTACTTTATCCTTGCTTCAATTCCACCTAAAACATAACAAACATTGAACTTCAAAGCACAGGAAATTGCAGAAATAATAAATCCATCTCTTTGTGATATTGTTCTGACAAACTAAAAAGAGACTTGTTTTAAGACATAAAAGGTCATCTTAAGTCAGCATCAGTATAATATTGTAACAACCAGATCTAAAATATATCTATATCTATATATATAATTACCTCAGCAATAGCTTCCCACACTTCATTAGAGGCAGTGATCATTTTGGATATAGGATCCCATCCAAATCCACTTAGTGAGGCAGTGCGGCCATTTAACAAGTCATAATACTCTTGCCAAACTTGTTTCAATGTTCTTATACGAGATTCAATGTGTGGTTTAGCTTCCAAGTGAGAATGAGGCAACTTCTGTGACATCATTTTTGCTAGCTCACTTAAATAACCTGCTTCAAAGCCTCCTTTTTTTCCATTATGTGTGCCATGGGTATGCAATTCGACCATACAATTAACAAGAGTTTGATCTTCTTGGGCAGTCCATTTCCTTCTTGTGCCTTTTGCAACATGTGCCATCTATCAAAAACAAACACAAGAAACAAAATATAAACCAAGAAAGATATCATCTAAAACTTTGAAACTTACACAGATTGTAAATACTATTCACAGAAGCATTTTTTATGGAATAAAAGGACTAAAGTTGGTTTGTTAATTTGCACTTACACTTTGACAAGCATGTTATTGGATTTTTATTACTTGTAAATAGAATTCATTCTCAGATGATTAATTTATTTTTGGATCAGTGTTCTAGCTTGTATAAATAGGTAATCAAAAAAATTCTAAACTTCATTTGTCTAAATAAGGGTTACTGCTAAACAAAACAAAAAACATACTAATATACTCAAATTATTTAACTAATAGCACATGTATAAATAAGGTATACTGTGACGAATTAGTGAATAATTAGAATGCAACAGTGGTAACATAAGTTCTACTTCAATAAATTTGTTAATTATATAACTAATTAACATGGCAGGTGAGAAGGGAATTGCATTTAACTAAACTCCACTTTACTAGCCTCCATGAAAAATATCAAACACCTTGAAGGCATGTTTCAGTTTAGCTATACAGTTCAGAAAACAATCATACTAGATATCCATTTCCGAAATTGCAGACATACAACATTTCAGTTTCTAGCTATGCGACCCAAGCGATGGTTTGGACTGGGATTTGTCAAAAACACGTACTGAAATATAGCTTGATGAGAGGATTTTCAGTGGTGAGAATCCCAAAACAAAAGAGTTCAAAATTAATATTAAGAAATCTCTGTCGTTTATATCGACCAGTAAATAGTTTCAGCATAGCAAGTTAGGTTTGGTTAGATATTTGTCTAACAAATTTTGAAAGTCTAACCTACAAAATCTGCATAAATTAATGTGCGATATACCTGGGTTGATTGTTGCGACATAATATACTGTTCGAGCTTCACAGGTATTGAAGAATTGAGGGTTTCGAAGTGAGAACGATTGAGAGACTTCAGAGATGTGTTTGTTTTTTCGAAGAGGAGGTCTGGGGAGAGTGAAATGTGTCGTAGGAATGGGAAATGATGGGAGGGGTTAGGGAAGGACACAATTGTAAATAAAAATGTCAGAAGCAATAAAATAAGGGCACAAGGGTCATTATTGAAATGCTTAACTCGTCGGCTATATAATACATGGGGGGAGCGATCGGTTATTAAGCACCGCTTAAGAGGCGTTGCTGCTTATTAAGCATACTTTTAAGCATCCGAAATTGTTTACTTCAGCCTTCTTAATAAGCTAACGGTCTTCTTAACAGCAAAGTAAACATATCCTAAAGCTTCTCCAACAACTCCTACAGAGGATGACGGTTTCACCTTAGTTACGTCTAAAAAATTCAAAAGACGGACTTGGCGACAACAAGCAGTATTCAAACACGTCTTCAAACCAAGCCTTTTGGATAGAAGCTTTCATGATACTCTCTAAATTGTTGAGCTCCTTAATTGTTGTACGTTCATTGCACTTTATTTCTTGTACTCTCATTTTGATTTAATAAATTAGGTAAATGACTCCCAACATTTACCCAACAATTTTGTGGTTTGCCTTTTGGGAAAGCAAAAAATAAATGCCTACTTGATGTATCATCATCCTTTAACTGCTGCTAAGAAAATCAATGTACGAATGTAGTAAATTTAGCAACAGGGATGAAGGTGTGTGTAAAATCTTTTCCTTTAATTTGATTAGAGCCCTTTGTTAACAGCCTTGTTTTGAAATGTTCAATTTTTTCATTTGGCCTGAACATTATGTTACATACCCATTTACCGCCAATAACTTTCTTTCTTGCATGTACAAGAGTTAGTTCCCATAATTGATTGTGTTTAAGTGCATCAAGTTCTTTCTCCATGGTTTTAACCCATCTCTCATCTTCCTTGGCTCGTACATACTCCCTCCGGTCCCAAAACAAATTCAGTGTTTGACTTCACACAAATTAAGGAAATAAATTTGACTTTATTGTAGAGTACACTATTGTGACACTGTTTGGCACTGTTTGACACTGTTTTGCACTATTTTAATCTAGATAATTTTCTAAATAAGGAAGGGAGAAGAAGTGTGAAGTTTATTTTGGACCTACCCAAAAAGGAAAGTATGAATTTGTTTTGGGACCGGAGGGAGTATATAGGAGCAGGTTCATGAATTGATAAAACATTTGCTCGTGAAGGTACATAGTCTGATGACAAGTTTTGTAAAGATGAATAAACCATGTTTGCCAGACATGTAACATTATGAATATGTGTTGCTACAGACGAGATCAATGATCTTGGTATATGTTTTCAGATAAAACCTAGCAAATTTTGAGGCATGATCCTGAACCTTGTTGTCTTTCTTTGTGTAATAGGAACCTCAGAATCATGAGATTCAAATGATTCAAAATTGTGCATTGGAGATCCCTTTTATGTTGAATGAGAGTGAGGTGTTTTATTTTGAGAAGTATGATCATTTGTAAGCCATCCAAAAGGAACAACGATAAAGGTATTTGGTGCTATTTCAGTTTGAGTTTCCTCGAAAGGAAACACTACTTCTTTGAAAATAACATCTCTGCTTACCATTATCTTTTTGGATTCAAGATCATAAACTTTGTATCCCTTTTCTCCAAAAGGATATCCAAGCGTACGTAATGCATTTGTGAGCTCTTGGAGATAACTTGTATTTATCCTTTGTAGCAGCATAACAAAGGCAGTCAAAAACTTTGATTATCTCCTAATCTGGTTCCCTTTTGAACAATATTTCGTAAAGAGTCTTCCAATTAAGAATAGAACAAGGCATGAGATTAACCACGTGTGCGCCAGTAAGTAAACACTCCTCCCCATAAATACTTAGGCAAATTTTCTTGGATCCTTAAAACTCTTGATGTTTCAAGGAGATGTCTTTATTTTTCAACTCTCCTGTTTTTTAAGGATTACTGGGATTCTGGGAATACTTTTGTGACGAATTATTCATTTTCCATTTAGAAGCTTTGGGAAAGTTGATTGGACTATTTCAGTTCCATTGTCCGATCTAATCACCTTAATCCTTTGCTCAAAATTTGTTTCCAATAAGCAATGAAATTATGAACAATGGTGGGAACCTAAATTTTATCTCTTAACAAATAGGTCCATGTATTCCTACTACAATCATCAATCAAAGTTAAGAAGTAAGATGCTCTAGTCATTGATTTGAGTCTATAAGGTCCCCATAAATCAATATGACCCATTTCAAAAAAATTAGAGGCAATTGAATTACTTTTTTCAAAGGATCGATAGTGATGTTTTGCCGTGATACAAACTTCACATAACAAACTATGTTCATTATGATAGAGAAGAATGTCCAAATCTATATGTTCATCCTTTACATCAAGGTTATAGGAACATTACAAGAATTATTAGCTAAATAATTTGCCTTCTATACATAGTTCTTATTTGTGTCAAGAGAGGTGGGAACAACTCTATTCATGTGGTTATTTGCTCCAAGTATGTAAAGATCACTCCTCTTTCTTTCAAGAAATATATTCCTCTTAAGTGAAGGTTCGTCTAAACCAAAGAAAGTTTCATTTTCTTCACCTTTAAAATCAGCATTTCTTGCAAACTTTTTCATACTACAATTTCTGAGCTCCGCACGGATTTAAGCTTTCCTTTGTTTCCTTTATAATAGTCAAGATATTCCTTAATCTCAAAGTAGTCTTTCAGGATGTGTCCTTTTTTTCGTGGAAACTCTACTGTATTTGTTTGCAGTCATAGCCATACCTCATGAAACATCTGCATAATTTTCGTTATTGATTTGTGCAACTCAATTTGTTGTATTCTGAAGAGTGCTTGTGTAGATATGGCGCATTGGTTTGTATTTATACATGTGAAGACACTAGGATATTAATAGAAAATATTTGTAACAAATTAACTAATGATTACATCATCATAATAGTATGTAACTTATATCCAAACTTATCTTCACATTTAGCATTTCATAACTAATCGCATAAGAGCGCACCTCATCATTTGTGAAAGCAAAGTATACCTCGAAAGCATAATTGTCTAGGTCCAAAACAGTCCATTAGGATACCAATATATATTAACACATTCTTCTTAGGATGCAAACTTTTTCCTGAACTAGTTTCATACAAGTTGAAAGTGAAGATAGAGTATAACAACTAATAACTATATTGATCTTTCATAGTAATTAATGTTTTTAATTAACTTTTCTCTATTTAGAAAAAACCTGTTTTTATCTTGATATTGCAACATATAAATAAAAGATTCCAAAGTTTATGTTATATATGGGACATTAGTTTCTATTTTATATGTTCATATATATGTATGAGTGTGTGTTTATGTGTAGCCACTTTTGGTAGGAAATAACTTAGAGAGAAAGCTAGTAAAAATGGTGTAGAGTTACAAGTTAGTTGGTGTTTTATTTATTATAGGCATTTACAAGAATATATGACTATAAAAATGTTACATTCTAAAATGCGCTAGGTGAGCACCAACCCAGCGCTAAGCGCCTAGTAGGGTGTCTAGGCGGTGACCAGTCCGAGACAAAGAAATTTTATTTTTATATTTTTTTACAGAACTACTACAAATAATATTTTTATACACACGCAAGTTAACATGCATGCATGATAGAATTGTCACATTTAATAATAGATTATAACTACTCACTTAGCTTTACCAAAAAAACTACTCAATTAGCTTAATTATGTAATAAATATTAAATAATAATAATAATAAAGTATAGGAATATATAAAAACATGTATAAATTTTTTCTGAATCAATAAATAGCTTTCTACATATCCATGATTAAAGGTCAAAGTACATAATCTCTAAGAAAAATAAAATAAAAAAGGAAAAAGAAAGTGTTCGGCAAATCTAAACGTCCTAGACAGCTGTTTAGGCGCTCAAGGAGGGCAACTAGGCGCCCTAGGCGACTAGCTAGTTCACATAGACACCAAAACTATTATTCAGACTTTCGACCACCGCCTAGCGCCTAGACAAGGACAAGTCGACCGCCTCGAGCAATTGTTAGAGCAT